ACATACCATATCTATTCTTTACTTTAAAAAACTCTTATACGATTAGCTGTAACCTAGTTATTCCAAGATATTTATCGAGCTCCGGAATCAACTTTGTGTACATATTTGACCAAGTGCAGACTTCATACAATTGCTAAAAACAATGAAAAGAGTTTAATATAAATACAGAAAATATTAAATTTCAAACTTTATTTGGATTAAGAAATTACAGTCTCGATTTTTTTTATATTTCAGAACGTGGAAACTATACAAGAGATTGAGCCACATATCAATTACTAAGCAACCAAAGTAAATCATTAATTATGGAAAAATGAAGGTATATACGTACAAAAGTCTTAGTATTTTCTCCAAAGAGTACTTCACCGAGTAAGGTTTAATTTGCACAATGATAAGACCGATGGGATACAGACGACGATTTTCTTTGTGCTGGAAGAATCGGAATCAATATACTTAATTTACGCAAATTAAAACTAAAACAATTTAAAATTTTATGTGGATACCTCTATGAAATCCTTAAAGAGCCTGTTTGGGAACCACATGGGTCTATGAACAGCCATGGTGAAAAGAGTCTTGACACCCTTAACCGAAGTTGGTAACAAAAGATCAGCCGACGACTTAAACCCTAACCGGTTCAAATTCGACTCACTGATCGTATCAGTCATCGCATGTATGGAACCTGACACTACCATGGCTGGAACCATCTCAGGGTACTTCTCGGCGATCTTAAATGCAACCATGCCACCATAACTAAACCCTACAAGGACAAACTTATCCACGCCGAGGATACGAAGAGACTTAACTAAACAGTGGGCTTGAAACGCTGGAGATCGGTCCGATTTATCTGAGTAGGACCCACCGAAGAAGAGTAGGTCCGGTATATAGACTGAATACTTCTTGGCTAATGATCGAACTTGGAACTGCCACGTCACGATTCCCTCCACTCCAAATCCGTGGATGAGCAAGATGGCTGGTTTAGTAGGTTTCTTGGGTTGCACGGCTGAGTTTTTGTCGGATTTTTTTGGTCTTTTTAGGGTTTCTTTGGGGATCCAAAAGTTCATTTTCGTCCCTGGTTCGATCTCTACGACGTACGGAACCACGCCGGCTAATTTCATGAGACCATACAACAATGGTTTTTGTGATTCAACAAAGTTCACCATTGTGTAATTTTACTCCTGTTTTGGTTCTTCTTTTGATAAATTTGGAGGTAAGATATTTGAAGAATAGGAAATGGAAAGGCGATGAATTAAAATCTTTTGAATTGGGATTAAATATAATTAATGTATTCGGTGTTGGGTTCTTATTTATATTCATCCAACTAGTTCTTATTGTACATTTTCAGTTTATCTTGTCAGACTAGTTTTGATTGATAACTTGCAAAGTATCATAATAACTTTCCAAATTTAGTAATTATGCAATTTTTAGTGAAATACATTCCGTTTTTTTTTGTTTGGTTTTGTTTTTATCTTGTTTAGTAATATTGCCATTTTGCTCTCTTAACGATCCTATCCATTTCGTAATGTTACCGATCAAAAAAATTAAGTGTGTCTCATGTATTAGAGAAGAAGAAGATGGTTGATGGTTTTCTTCTACAATTAATGGGGTTCTTACTTGCCTTGCAAGTTGCATGAAATCGTCAAAGTTTGGAGATCTGCAATTCCTACTTCTGTCTATATGTTGTACTCCTCTTTCTTTTTTCATATCATCATATATATATTAATACAAACCCTTTGTCAAAAAAAAATAATATATATGTCATTTTATATCATTACTCATTCAGAGATATATACAAATGCAGTATATGTTTCATAAGTATCAGTAAGTTGATTTTTCGTGACATTGATTGGCCTTTTACAACAATGGGCATATTACATTGTCCCTACAATTTCAGGTATAAAAGATAAATTTAGAAAAATCGATACAACCACTATTATATGCCAAATACATTATCGTTGAACATCTACATAAATATTCATTTTGTTCCTAATGTTATATGAACTATAATATCGGTCCTTTTCTACGCTTCTCCAAAGAAAGCCCACGTCCATTACCTCCTACGATTTAATTTGATTTACTTAGCTACTCAATTAGTTGATTACGGACATTTACTATATAGTTTAAATACACTACTTTGTGATTAATGAACCCTTTTTCGGAATACACCAACCATAACCTCCAAAACCTTGTCTTCGAGTTAGAACAAGTAAACACGTCATCTTTGAGTGTTGTAGTCGCCATTTGTACCAAACCGATTATAATTTAATATGCACAAATCCCAAATGACAAAATAATACATAACCTAACTACCTAGACGAAAATAATATATATTAAAAAAAAAGTCATACCAAGATGTTGAATTTAACATTAACATTAGTAGTTACTTTCACTCAATCACAATCTACACCAACAACAAATATTTCTCTAACTTTAAATAATATGATTTCCCAATTTACTTTATATATAAACACTATGTCTTATCTTTACACATATATATAGCAAAAACAAGGAAAATAAGGAACAAAACCAATACAATCTTCTTTCACAATCATCTAAAAATGAGCTTAATTAAAAGCCTAGTGATCATTTCCGTTCTCGGAATATTCTTTATACCTCGTTACTCTGAATCCGCTATATCATGTAGTGTTGTTTTACAAGATTTGCAGCCATGTGTAAGCTACTTGACTAGCGGAAGCGGAGAACCTCCGAAGACCTGTTGCGACGGAGTGAAGAGTTTAGCGGCGGCAACCACCACATCTGCCGATAAAAAGGCGGCTTGTCAATGCATAAAATCAGTTGCCAATAGTGTCACTGTGAAGCCTGAATTGGCTCAAGCCCTCGCTAGCAACTGTGGCGCGAGCTTGCCCGTGGATGCATCTTCTACTGTCGACTGCACTACGTACGTTTGAGCTCTTGACATTTTTTTTTTGTATATCTATTAGTTTGCTGCCTAATACTATCTTCTCGTATAACCTTATAATAACGTACATGATTTGAAGTTTAAGATAGTATTTTTTAGAATGAAATTAAGGTAATCAGTTTTAAAGACAATGATCAAATTTCACAAGTTTATACTTTGTTATCGCTGATTCCTAATTCATATATTATCTTATAACATTTCTCTTAATTTAATAACTAAACTCTATAATAGGAAAAAGATGAAAATTAATTGTAGTTATGTGTGAAAACCACATAGTGAATATAGTTATCTAAATAAATATTTTTTAGCAGTAACTTAATGGACGTTATTGGTTTTTGTATTTTAATGGATTTGAAAATTTTCTTTAAATTCTATAAATCACTTGATTTGAAAATCAGACAAATCAGGCAAATGGAATATATGGATTTGTAAACCAATTAAATGGATTTCAATAGTAATCTTGTTTAGCATGTAAAAAAAAAGAAAAACAAAAAATAATGTAAAAATCTATTATTCTTTTAAGTACATAATCTTAGTTATGATGCAATTAGAGTAATTCACCAATTAGGAATGAAAGATGTATTTGTTAGCATATCCATTGATGAGAGTTATGCTTGGCTTAAACGTAAAATTATGAATTGATTAGTTAATTATGTTGGGTTTCTATTTTATGTATTGTTTGCATTGTTTCGGATTAGAGGTTTTTATCATATTAGGTTTTTATTGGTTTGCGTTGTTTAGGATTTTTATAATGAAAATATAGAAAATACTCAAATCAATCCAAATAACAAGTCTAACGAGGTGTTATTGGTTTTTGTATTTTAATGGATTTGAGAATCCAAACCAAATTCAGTGTTATTGGTTCTTGTATTTTAAAATTTATATTGAAATACAGTGTTATTGGTTCTATGATTTTAAAATCTATAATGAAATACAGTATTATTGGTTCTATCATTTTAGAATCTAAGTATTATAAGGATTTTAGTTTTAATTGAATTTGAATGAATTTGGAAGGATTTTCATGACTAAAATACAAAGATCCAAATACAAGATCTAACCTTGATATTTGAGTGGATTTGATTTTTTTCCATTTTGCTGATTTTGAAATCAATAAATTTATCAAATCCAAAGAAGATTTATAAATCCACCAAAATACAAGAACCAATAACCCCTACTAAACTCTGTATTTGGAATTTTTATATTTTAGTCATGATAACACTTATAAATCTATTCAAATCCAACTAAAAATCAAATCTTTAAAATATTTGGATTTTAAAATCATAGAACCAATAACACTGAATTTGAATATAGATTTTGAAACCATGGAACTAATAACAATGAATTTGAATATGGATTTTAAAATCATAAATCCCATAACACTGAATTTGGTTTGGATTTCCAAATAAATTAAATTACAAGAACCAATAACATCTTCTTAATGAGTTTGAAAGTTTATGTTTAGGGTTAATATAGCTTGACGATTTTATTGCAATTGTTTATTTGCAGGGTTGGTTAGATATTCTCAATATCGACCAATGGTCCGTCTATACTTCGTAAGTATGCAATTTACATCAATAAAGGCCTCGTATTATAGATTTATGCGAATGTTTGTGTCAAACTCTAGGCCTACTCATTGTAAAGTTCATTTAATTTCGTAATGTATTCATGTCCATGTATTATCGTCTTAATTATATTAATGCAATATATTTACGCCGGGGGTTTGGATATTATTGTGAACGGATGAGTCATGAAAATTTCAAATCATATATGCTTGATTAATAAAGACTAAAGAAACATCTTAATTACCAAATCAGTGACACTTTGGCTATCACAGTGTAGCGTAGTACTACTTCCTTCGTGAATTTGACCCAACTGTTACAGAAGTGATTATAACCATATCATTTCTTTTGCCTTTGATATAGCTAGCAAACATACTCAACTTCAACTTCATAACTTGATAAAGCTTTACGACTCAAGCTACTTCACAACATATATCTATTTTCTTGAGTCAATTTTTATTTACCCCAAAAAAAACTAAATATCCGATTAGAATGTTATTAATTTAGTGTATAATACTATTTGCTAGGAAACAAGAAAACTATCGGCCAGGTTGCATCGAAAAATGTTAAAGAATAAAAGACGATATAACATAAAGTTGAGATATATATGTATCCTATACGGTCAAAGCAAGTGGAAACATCATGAAAAGGGTTATAAAACAGTACGTATATATAACTTTCAAAAAGTCATGAAAAAGAAAACACAAGTAGATAGAGTCGAGGTAATAAATAAATATAAAGAAACTATATAATGAATTTGACCAAGACTGATTTGCTTTGGCTGGGAATCTATGATAAGACCTTTCATCATCATCATCATCATGATCCATAATAAACGTTTCTTCTTCATCTCGTCAAAATGGTGGAGAATGCGATCGAAGTCGGTCTCTCGCTACGTGACGTCAGTTCCAAGAAAGATATGAAGCAGCCGTGACGTCATCAACGTACGGATATTCCATCTCCGGCGCCGGCGAGAAATACGGGACTCTTTGCGTATTCTGATGAGCCCACGACGGCGACGGCGAAGCATAGTGATGATGATGATGATGACTGTAATAGTTTCCAGTACCGTTATATGAATTGTCTACCGGAATTTCTGCCGCCGATGAACCTCCACCGGAGTTTACTGAGTTTCTGGCGGTTGCACGCCTCTCTTCCTTCTTGAATCGGATTCCACACGCATTACATAACGACTGCACCAAATTATAATCATTGTCACACTCACATCCAAAATATAAAATGTAATGTGTAATTATATATTGTTACAACCTATTTTAAAAGACGATATTTTAATTATATTTAGAGAAAACGAATTAATTTAGACTAAGAGATTTATAAAAAAAAAGAACTATAAAAACGAAAACTATATATGATGTGACAAATTATGATTAGAAAAGTTGTGTGCTTTTTCCTAGTATATATAAGGGAGTTTAGTATCATATAATAATTTTGAATCTTTTAAAGTATCGAATAAGGGAATTAGGGAAATGACACTTTGCTTTAATTATAATCTAAACTATTTCAACAATTTTCTTTCCTTATGCATTTGGATAATGACACAATTATCACATTATCGATGATATTGATATATATGAAGAATGTACTAGTACATTACCTTAGGTCCCTTTGGTCCGTTTCTCCATAGAGGAGTAGAAGTGGTGTCGCAGCTAGCACAACGGCGAGGTAGGTTGTGATCACCATTGCTTTTCTTGTACGACGTCGTTTTAGTATTTCCTCCGTGAAAGAAGAACTCGCCGGAGATGTTATTAGAACCAGCAGAAGTGAATCTACGGTGGTCGTCGAGACGAGTAGATGGTGTTCCAAGGGAGAGAGTGCAATCCACAGAAGTTGATGAAGAGAAATTATTGTAAGGATCATAGTTTTGATTGTTTTGCTCGTCATTTTCAGAGGAAAAAAACATGGAGAAATTAGGGTTTGTTTGGTATCCCATCATGAAATTGAGGTCAGAGAGAGATTAGAGATGTGTGTGTGTTGTTTGGTTGGTGTGTGAGTAAGTCTAATTATAAGATACACATTAAGAAACGGCTACATATATATAGACCCCGTTTGAAAACTCACCAACAAAAGTATTTGGTATGTTCGAATCTATTGTAGTACAGATTACATTATTTGCTACTTTAGTAAAAGAAAGCAAGAACTCTACAATGAATATTCTTAAGGGCTTTTATTAGCTAAATATTTTTCTTAATTATGTTTTTGGGTACGGAAAACAAATTATTCTAAATTCTATTTTCCACGCCGATTTTCTGCTACATTAATCAACTAAATTATTCTAGACTCTATCACACTTAGCCTTAACCTATAATAGATGTTTTAGGAAACTTTAACTCAAAATCATTATAGTATGCGTATTTCTCAATTTTATGTGGTAAAAAATATTTTGTTGTATTACATTTTTGAATCATTATCAAAGCCAAATGTTTCTTTCATGTCATATTAGATATCTTAGGAACAAGTTTTCTAAGTACATATAATAGATGAAATGAGTGCTGTTTCCTTTTAAATAACGTATGTTTCAAATAAAAGTGACCAAAAGCAAACTATAAAAGCTAGTTTAGCATTCTTAAGCAAAATACAGTAGATTTTTGCATGATGAAGGGTAAAGACTTTGTAAATTTAATATTTAATGGCAGTAAATAAGTAATAATGAGAAGTGTATCTGCAGTTTTAGTGTCGGAAGGGTTGGTCAAAAGAGGCCCACGTGAATGACAATGTCACGGTCTTCTAAGGGTTTGGTCTCTCTCCAATTACGAAGCCCCTTTCACTCATTGCTCTTTTTAATCCTCCGACTCATACAGAGTCTTTTCCTTGACGTCTACATAAATTAACGAAATGTACCTAATTAATTAGTAAATTATGAATGATGATAGAATAGGGAATGAAGCCGTTGTTCTGGTTCTATCGTAGGAGGAAGTTTAATTTCGTTAGTTGGCCATTGACAGCTTCGATACTATCGGTCTTGTGGTCTCCAGAGGTATTAGAAGATTTGCGAGTTTAAAAATTGTATTATTCTTCGAGTTTTCTAGTTTGAGTTCTGTTTAGCTTCGGTTTCAATGAGTTATTATGTAGATTTTTAATGTTGTATCCCTTACTTGTATCTTTCAAATGTATCTGTTCGTATGGCTTAATATAAATTTCAGATGGCAAAAAAAAAAGATAGAATAGGAAAAAAATGGATAACACTGATAGGTAAAATTTTTTTGAATCGAACACTAAAAACATAAGTTTTAAACCTATTATACGCATATAGTTGGTGAATCCATTAAAAAACAAAAAATCCATGGGTCACACAATTAATATTTTTTATTCATATAATCTTTAAAAGAAGAAAAAAGGAGCCGCGACATGTTCAAATGCTCGAGTTGTAACATCTTAAAAGACGGCAAATAAAAATCGATACTGGTTTGTCGTTTTATAACAATGTCAGTTACTACTATTTGGCTGAAAATTAAAACCAAATGTTAAACCTTCTTTAATATAAAGGCGATATCTTATTATATGAACTTTTAAAATGTTAGAACTAAGGAGAAATAGTACTGTTTAAGCTAGGAATGAAAATTAAAAAAAAGGGGTAAAGGTAAAGGGAATTCTGAAGTGAGATTCTTGGCAATGATCAAAAGCAACATCTTGTGTTCTTTCTTTGGCTTGGGGAACGAGAGATTCAATTGATCAGTCAAAGAAGCAAACTCCAACTAAAAATATTTTTTTAAAGCAAAAATCAGAAAAAAGTACAAAACGAATAAACTCGACTGGATACACCAAACACTCAATTGCTACTTCTTTTTCTTTTTATTTCTTTTTATTTTTTCCTATTTTGGGTTATATACTTAGTTCGTTCCTCCCCTAAAGTAGATGATGTTTTGCCACGACAAGAATAATAGTTAATAACAAAGCCTAGAAATCTTAACTCGAAAGCAAGTTATCGTAAGGTTATCTTGTTTGTTCTAATTAATGAGATACATATATATATATATATACTGTGACTCTTATATTGGTAGTAGCTAGCAACAAAGATGCAAAGCTAACGGGTGGCTTCACGAGACTAAGTATATCTATCAATCCGAATTTAAAAGTTGTATCTTTTTTTATTTTTATTTTTTTGGCGAGGCCACTTCTAAGCTTGTTGAGCTCTCTTGTGATCAGAGCACATTCAAAGAATTTTCACATCTATTTTATAAAAAAAAAATCATATATGTACAGATGAAATGTGAGGCCCGCCAATAATCTTGTTTTTCTAGATGTATATGCGCCGCTATATATACAACGTAAACCATAACAATTGTTATCACTATATATATAGTATCGCAAAGATTAATAGTTTTTTCTTTATCGTTGTTCACATTACATTATTGTCTATGGTCGTACTCGTACCTAATATACATTAGAAGTTATGTAAGTCTTGAAGATAAATAGTAATTCTGGTTATAAATGTTATACGAAAAAACAATCAGAGATTTTATATAGTTTTGCTTTCACCGAAATTTGTTGGATACTTGAGTGTAACTACTATCAATTGTTTTAAAAAAAAAAAAAATTATGATTGCGTCTCAGTTCCTTAATAATATGTAATTTATCAAAAAAATTAGGGATTTTATATAACATTCATTAGAACTAGAAGCTATATAAGTCTTACAGATTGTTATACGAAAAAACAATCAGAGATTTTATATAATTTTGCTTTCACCGAAAATTTGTGGAATACTTTGTTTTTTTTGGTTTTAATGTTAAATTTGTGGAATACTTGAGTGTAACTATTATCAATCGTTTAAAAAAAAAATAATGATTGCGTCTCATGAGTTCCGTAATAAAATATAACTAGGAGTTTCCCGTTCGATTAAATTTTTTAAAAAGTATAACATTAGTTTATTTATAGATTAAATAATCAGATTTTATAATGATTCGAAATCAAACTTAATATATTTGAAAAAATATAATTTTTATGAGTATACTGTTTTTTTGTGACAAAGCAAAATATATTATTTATATCTTATTTTCTAATATCTTTTATATTATCCGATAAAAACTTATATGTATGTTTTGTTGTTTTGTTGTATTTATCAAACATGATAAATAATTCTCTTCTTTTTATGCAAATTGGTAAATTAAGATTAATGATATTCAAAGTTTGCATAAATAAAAAACATAGCAATCCAAAATGACCGAAACCACAAATTTTTTGTTTCATATCAACTTATTAATTAATATATATAGAGTTTTAAAAGGGTTTAAATGATTTAGGGTTTTATTGTAGTCGCATAAATCAATTAGGTTAGTCAAAAATATTAGTAGATTAAATAATTAAATTAAAATTAGTTTAATAAAATAATTAGGATTTTTTTAACTATGTTAGTTACTTTTTTTTTAGTTAACTGAATATTTTTATGATATAAACTTGAATTTGGAAATCTAGATTAAAAAAAAAATCAATTAAAAATTAAATTAGATTAATTTGTTAATTTTCATTAAAGGTAATTAAAATAAATTCATCAGAACTCTCAACCACAGCCCAACTTGCTTGCCAATTAATAATATGATTTATTCAAAAAAAATTAGGGCCAGCAATATTGATCGTTAGATTTTCGTCAATTTCTTCTTTTCTTGTGGCTTACGTACCCCGGGATATGGACATATTATACTTTCGTCCGAAAATAATATGATCAAGTAAAGATCCAAAGAATATCAAGATTCAAAAGACCCAAAAGAGAGAAGGAAACATGTTTTAAGAGAACACAGAGAATCAAATCGGAGTTTCGATTGGTGAGCTCTTTGTTTAACTAAGAAGAAGACTGCCGCTATTAGCAAAGATGTCTCTCTCTCTCTCTTATCTTTCTAACACATGGACTTTGTTACGTGGAACAAGAAACCTAAACTACGATTACCCCAGGAGACTAAGTATCACAGAAACACGTGGACATATCACATAATAAGGAGGCATGCATGCAATTAGGTAATCTAATCAGTAATTACCGATTGGTTTCTTCATTTTTGAAACAATAAGTAATTTCCAATATTTTTCGATTCCGTACTGTAGTATCTGTGTAAGTGTGTATGATACGGTCCGTATCCAACACTCAAACAAAAGAAAGAATAAAACAAAGAGAATGACAGCAAAATAACCAACAAAAATCAAAAAGAAAGAAAATATTAAAAACATCTCTCAAAAGGATCAAGATCCGATTGGCCTATCTTTATCTTTTTTTTTTTTATTACTATTCTAGAGTTTTGACCGTTTGACTTTCTAGATATTCTTCTATGATTTAACCTCTACAGGCATCGAACCCGTAACCTTTAATCATTAATCCATTACACCGAGGCCCATACTTATCATAGCACTAATGGGCCTATTGTAGGCCCATATTTCTCGTTGCAGAAAAAAAAAATCGCTTTCTTCCCCGTCCGCTACTTTCGCATTCCTTTAGGCCATCTCCGTCGTCATCCTTGTCGTCGTCGGTGGAAGCAAACGTCGACGAGAGCCACGGCGTGATTGGTAAGAACGATTCCTGAAAACGCTCGATCTTAATTTTTGAGTTCAAATTTTCAAGTCTCGATTATTCACTGTTCTAGCTTCTCAAGTGTGAATCGAATTAACGGAAAATGGGACTATTAAGCATCATTCGGAAAATCAAGAAGAAAGAGAAGGAGATGCGTATTCTCATGGTGTATGTTAGATTCTAAACTTGTTAAATCTCCTCCGATCTCTAAAAATACACATTCCTATGATAATTTCTGCTGGTGTGCGATAATTGTTTGTAGTGGACTCGATAACTCAGGGAAGACGACGATTGTTCTGAAAATGAATGGAGAAGACACGAGCGTGATTAGTCCAACTCTTGGTTTCAACATCAAAACCATTAGTTACCAAAAGTAAAGGCTCTCTCTTTTTCTTCCTCTCTGCTTGTCCTGTAGCTTCTTGTTCTTCAGAATTGGTTTAGCAATGGTGATTTGTGTGTAAATGGTGTGTAGCTTTCTCTTCCTCTCTGCTTGTCCTGTAGCTTCTTGTTCTTCAGAATTGGTTTAGCAATGGTGATTTGTGTGTAAATGGTGTGTAGCTTTCTCTTCCTCTCTGCTTGTCCTGTAGCTTCTTGTTCTTCAGAATTGGTTTAGCAATGGTGATTTGTGTGTAGGTATACGCTGAACATATGGGATGTGGGTGGGCAAAAGACGATAAGATCGTACTGGAGGAACTACTTTGAGCAGACTGATGGGTTAGTTTGGGTTGTGGATAGCTCTGATCTCAGGAGGTTAGATGATTGCAAGATGGAACTTGACAATCTCTTGAAGGAAGAGGTAAATCTAATTTGAAACATTCTCTTGTTCAATCTGAAGATTGGTTGCTTTGTTTGTGGTGAGTAATGAGTTTTTGGATATTATTGATCTTGGGTCTTTAATGGCAGAGGCTCGCTGGGTCATCTTTGCTGATACTAGCCAATAAGCAGGATATTCAAGGTGCTCTTACACCTGATGAAATCGGCAAAGTAAGGGTTTCTGAAACTTTATCTCTCTCGTCTTAAAAAGGGTTTCTTTCTCCTCTTCACTGAGTTTGATCTTGTTGTTGCATTCGCAGGTGCTGAATTTGGAGACGATGGATAAAAGCAGGCACTGGAAAATCGTTGGTTGCAGCGCCTACACAGGTGAAGGTTTGCTGGAAGGATTCGATTGGTTGGTTCAAGACATTGCCTCCAGGATCTACATGCTTGACTAATCTCCTGTCTTCATCTCAACTATCGGCATTGTGCAATGGCATGTTAGATAACCTGATGATGCTGCTCCAGTGATTTCATGTTGGCATCTAAGCTTTTCTTTTAGTACAAACATATATCTGTGTTCTAAGACAATCAAGCTCTTGTAATTCTGTTTAATTGAAAGAGACTTAACCACAAAATGATGTATTCTCTCATACATCCAGTCTTTGTGATCTACTATGATGATTGAGATAAGAGAGTATTTCAAACTGATTATTTTTGTATACACAGAGATCAAGAACAGTTTCTTTTGTTGAATGTTCCTTCTTCAGCCTCTGAATCTACCCATTGTTTGTTAATGTCTTGGTTCTCGGAATCAGAGAAGTCGACAATGAAGAATTGCCAAAAAAACAGTGAAGGGTATAAATGTCTTTACATAATATTCTAATTTCTTAAACCTGTGTGTACAAAACCGTTAGAGATAACCAATGCTCTCCTTCCGGTTCATTAATATCAATCGTACCAAACCACAACTCGAAATTTGAATTAAAACAACGGTACGCGTCTACGCAATTTCCTTATTTTCCCAGGTTTTCCCATTTTTTTCCTTTTTTTTTGTTTTTCTCAGTTTCCTTTTTTCCGCCTAGGTTAACTGAAAACGTAATCAGGAGATTTACACACACACACTCTCTCTCGGTCTATATATATAGAGTTGATCCACACTATCGATAATCCGTTCCATAAACTTGATCACGGCAACAAAACCCTAATTCGCTAATTCTCTCTGTTTGATCGTCTCTCTGTTTGATTCGTGCGGCAAACCCTAAATCGCTATTCTCTCTGTTTGATCGTCTCTGTCTGTTTCGTGCCCCCAAAGTCATGGCGACAGCAACGAGGCTGGGTCGTGATTTGCTGTTCTCTTCTTCCTCATCCACGAGCAAAGCCCTTCGCGCGTCAACGATAAAGATTCGGTTCGCCGACATCATCGTCAAGTCCAAGCTTAAAAGCGCTGATGGAAAGGCAAGAATCGAGAAGGAAAAGCTCCTGCGAAAGCAGCTTGAGGAGAAAGCTAGAATCGAAGCGGCTGAGACCAGAAAAGCCCTGAGGTTGAAACAACGTCGAGCGCTCGAGAAGATGGAGCGGGAAGCCAAAGCGGAACACCACTTGGTAACGGAGGACGAGTTCGTCCATCTTTGCGGTGGACCCCGTCTCGTAGGAAGTCGCTGGTTGGTTCAAGATCTCGGTTTGGTTTTGAGAACCGACGACGACGATGATGTCTCTGATGATGAATCTCTCGAAAACCCAGAAGCTTGCCGTGATATTGAGGAAGGTGAAATTGTTTAGAATAATATAATTGCCTATAACACGACTGTTTGCAATTTGTTGATTCATGAAATTGTTTAGACTATAGTATATTTGCCTATAATGTTTGCAATTTGTTGATTCATGAAGCAAAAACTCTTCTTTTTTTTTTTCTTTCTGTTTTAATGTGTAGCAGAGATGTAAGATTTTAAAAAGTATATCATTTTTTTTAACGAATTAAAACAAATTCTTTTGGACCAATCATCTTTTCGCTTACCAGCTACTTAAACAGGTTCTTGCAGGACCAAAAACAATCAATTTGTTTACTGTGGTTAATTTGCTCTGGAATCACCACCACTTCTCTGAATCCATTATCCAATTTTGTAAGTTGTGATGATAATAAACCAACAAGTTTACTTCTCTTTGACTGCTTTCAAATTCGGTTGATACATTCATCGATGTTGGTTTGGTTGCGCTAAGCTTTCCGGTCTTAAACAAATGCCCTAACGACAAGACTTAGTCGAACATGTAAGTTACAAGTTACCGATTCCTCAAAAGTCAATCTTCTTGAACCCTTTTGCTTGACCTTTCTTTTAGCTAAAAATGATTCACTTTGTGTTATAAGGAGAGGATGGAGACAATACTTTGAAGGCGAAGATGTGTATTTTGATTCAACTGATCAAATCAATGGAGAAGACGCAAGCTCTTGGTTTCAACATCAAAACCATTACTTACCAAAAGTGAAGCTCTATCTCTTCCTCTCTGCTTGTCCTGTAGCTTCTTGTTCTTCAGGATTGGTTTAGGAGTAGCATCAAACAGGTGATTAATTTGGGATAGCTCTGATCTCAGGAGGTTAGTAGATTGCAAGATGAAACTAAGACATTGCCTCCAGAATCTACATGCTTGACTAATCTCTGTGTTCATCAACTATTAGCGTTGCGCAGTGGCATGTTAGATAACCTGATTCTGCTCAAGTGATTTCATGTTGGCATCTATTGTAACATCTATGTTCCAAGCCAAACAGACTCTTGTAAGTTTTGTTTAATTGAAAGAGACTTAACCACAAAATGAAGTATTCATACATCAAAGTAGAGACTTATTGATAAGCAAATCCAGAAGAATCTATCACCAAGAGATAAAACTTCTTGAAAGAAGCATACAAGAACAGAGAGAAAGAGAGAGATCACTTCGACTTCTTTCCTACTTTCTTCTTGACGACTTCGTCGATGTACATTATGCCTTTCCCCTTGTAAACTTCAGGAGGTTTGCAACTCCGGACTGTAGCGGCAAACTGATGCACCCTGTCCTTGTCGATTCCGGTGCAACAGACCACATTGTTCTTGAAACAGAAGACCCGAACCGCCGGAGGAACCGCGAGCTCGACTTCGTGGCTGTAACCTAATTTGAGGTACAAGAAACGCCCTGCTTCCTCCGCTCTGGCTTTGTATCCAACTCCAACTATCTTCAAGAACCGAAAGAACTTGGCTTCCATCTCCTACAGATGATGCTTGCCACAAGAATCACCTGTCTAAAAAGAAGACAACTCTCAACCTTAAGAAAACAAAAAGGTTGCTTAGATAAAATCTCATATACACATAAAAGGAAGCAAATTTCGTCTCTCCTACCACTTAGAATCACACTTAGAACAGTACTGAAATAGACTAAAAATGCTCGAAAGAGACGTTTTTGTGTTTATATGTTTCATTGCAAATCACACTAAGAACAGTACTGAAATAGACTAAAAATGCTCGAAAGAAGGCGTTTTTTTCTTTTCCATATGTTTCATTGCAAACTATCCTAAGAGACGTGGAAACAAGCGATGAGCTAAATAGGAAATACGTCGAACAGCTTCCGTGCAATATTACAAGAACGGTAAAAGACAGAAACACAAACCCAATTTAACCCCATTTACATGAACAATGAATGTTTTTTCTCCCCAATTAACACAATTTACATGAACAAACGTGAGTTCTGTAGTAAGGAAAACAACGAAAGTGAGTAAAAAGCACAGAAGATCTCGGAATAATTTGCTAGTGATTCATTTGAATACCCAAGAGAAGAAGAAGATAGTGAGAGATTCGAATGGAAGAACAACTGATACCTTTCTTGTTTTCCGGCGATGACCAATGGGACGGTGCTAATTCTTCGCCGGCGGATCACTCCCAAACTCTGGCTTTAAAACCTTCTCCTTTCCTTTTCTCGATCTTTTTTCTTTGACAAAAAAAATGGTTGACGTTTTTTAGCCGTGGAAAAACGACACGCTGTTTTTTTGAACCTCGAGTGATTACAAAGCCCATTGGGTTAATTTATAAAGCCCACTGGGCTAATTCATAGAGCCCAAAAAGCCTTTTCGTACCGATGATTTGTTTGCTCGCGCTTTGACTCCCCCTCGCCGCTCTCGTCTCTCGCTTTTGAAGTTCCAAAGCTACGAATCTCCCAACAATGGCGGATTCGATTTTCAGAAAGCTGAGAGATGGCGGAGAAGAAGGCGAGCTCGCGCCAGCTCTCACCATAGAGGAAACTGTAGCTTCCCCTTTCGCCCTCGATGTCTCCGGCTATCTTCTCGCAAATCTATCTTCATCAATTTTGGCTGGAAAATCCAAGTCGCAGTACACCTTCGAACCCTATTTTCTACTAAATTCGATCTCGAATTGCTTCGTCACCGACTCTTCGTAAATATCTTCCGTTTCTTCCCAACTCTGCGATGCAGGGGTCTCGTGCTGATCACATTCTCCCGAAGCCCTTCATTCTATTTGCAGTTCTTGAAGCAAAAAGGAATCGTCGTCTCTTCATCTTCTAAATGGTGAATTTTTATTTGACTCCCTTTAGGTTTGAATTCTCGCATCACTGTGATACTGATTAGGTTTTTTTGATTTGGAAGGATTCGTATTTTGGATTGCTACACTGATCCACTAGGCTGGATTGATCAGTCTTCAAATGGTGTTACTGAAGGTTCGAGTTTGATTAAGTTACACAAGTGTGTGAGTGACTTGAAAAGGCTCTTTTCATCAATCATTGAAGCAGGAAGAGGTAGTTCTTGTACATTACATCCTTTTTTTTTTTTTCATTTGGATCTTTATCTAAAGGATTATATGAGAGATTAAAGGTGATTACTTTGCTGCAGAATTGGTTGGAGATGGGAAGGCACGTTTCTGTGTTGCCATAGATTCGGTAAGCAAACGTTTTCTTTTGTTGGAGTTTTCAACTTGGAACTATCGAAAGAAGAAGAAGAAGAAGTGAGTTTTTTGTTATTATTTGAAAACTTTGAATCAGGTGAATGAGCTGCTAAGACATTCATCCATGCCGTTAGTATCTGGTCTCTTAACAGATCTTCGAAGCCATGGTATATTCACATTCTTTGCAACATGAACTTGAACATTCTTTCATCAGTTTTGATTCCTCCATAGGCTTAACACCAAAAAGGTTGTTTCTTTTCTTGGTCGCAGCACAAGTTTCCAGTATATTTTGGTCATTAAACACTGACCTTCACCAAGAGAAGGTCACAAATGCGCTTGAATATGTATCAACGATGAAAGCCAACTTAGAACCTTTGTGTCCATCTTCGGATGGGAAAAGGAATGCTTTGGAGAATCTCTTTTTGGTTCATCAGGATTTCGGTAAAGGACGGTTCCATGTCAGGTTTAAGCTTAGGAAGGGACGTGTCAGAGTAATGGTAAGTTCCTCTCTCTCTTGCTCTTATCTATCAACACTATGATGAGTATCATCTACTTAAGAGACTCTTGTAACTCTTTTACTTTACAGTCTGAAGAATATCATGTTGATCATTTGGGAATAAACTTTTCACCCATTTCCTCTGCGGATTCTGTTATTGCCATCACCAAAAGCCTTTTGCCTAAGGCAAGTCATCTTGCTTTGCTTTCTTAGTTTCTTTATCTCTTGTTGTTTAAGTTGTATGGCCTGAGATTGTTGTTTCTTTTGGTTTAGGTTCAATTCAATCTACAGTTGTCTGAGAAAGAACGAGTTGAGAAAGAAAAAGTTGTACTTCCTTTTGAGCACCAAGGTGAGTTTTTTTACATCAGATTTGGTGTAAAAGCCAGAGAATTTAAGCTCTGAGATTGTGGATTGATCATTTCTGATATGGGTCTGTTCTTCAGATCATGGAAAATCGACAGAGATCTATGATGGGAGGAGATCTCTTGCGGATGTCAAGATTGAGGCAGCACCATTGTCTTCAGGGGAGTTGCAGAGCGATGTGGTTTCATCGGGTAAAGATGGGGAGATTATATATTACAGAGATTCAGACGATGAGCATCCGGATTCTGATGAAGACCCTGATGATGATCTGGACATTTAAGGTTCTTAAAATTGATCTTGTAAGACCAGAGAATGGCTCTAATGTTGGTTTGAAACATGTATCTTTACTCAAGATGAATTTACACTTAAAATTACATTTCGGTAAAGTCAAAAGTAGTTTAGTTTAGTTTTTTTTTTTTTGTCAACATTCATATAATTAGTTTAGGAAATTAAATTAATTTTCTAAATTGGTTTGATTTCACAAGTAGACAAAGAAAAATTGAACACATACGATCTAATGTGTTGACCAAAATTAAACATAATTAGAAGGATATAGAAGAAAAATGAATATTAAAAGTTTCCATTTATTGATGAAATCGTTTTATTTTCTGAAAACTTAATACAGTTTTTCTTCTCAATATAATGGTTTCACTTACATAATTCCTTTTTTATAAATCAAAATAAATTCCGCAGTAGAGCATTCGTTCTTTGTTTGTTGAAGCAAATATTAGCGAATACATTATTGACCAAAATATTTCATTCTTCAAAGTTCAAACTATTTTTTAAAAAAATATTGCATAAAAGGTAGTAGGCAAAAGATATAAGTTACAAAAAATATAAAAGCAAAAGCATTTGAAATAATTTGTCTCCAATATCATATCTCTCTATCGATCGAGGATAATGGCTATTTTCAGAGTCGTGATTGCTTCTCTTCTCATCTCTCTTCTTGTCCTCCACCTCGTCCATGCCGATATGGTGATCATAGTACAAATATTTTTTCTTTCTTGCTCCTTTTATATACTTTCTAATGTATTAACACAATATAGTGTTTTCCTAATATTTTCTACAGACGGTGAACGCCCACAAAATCGGTAATTACTACATAACATCTATATCTATAAAGTAACATTTTCTCTCTTCTGGTGCAGCCATTTCAGCATCATAATCAGATGCCACCTCACCATTTAAATTTATAGATATAGATTGTGACATATATGTAGCCCAAATCCATGGTTTCTCACCATTTAAATTTATAGATATAGATTGTGACATATATGTAGCTCAAATCCATGGTTTCTCTCAAATCCACCTTACATCTTTTTACTATATGGGCTTGTTTAATTTATATATATATATCTATATGGGCTGCCGATGGTATATAAACGCTTAGCTGTATAATATGCATTGTAATATTATTATTCGATTGATATTAATAATAATATATAATATAATACTATAAATAATCTTAAAAAACTTTTAACTTTATGACTTTATATAAAGTGTATGAATATTACTACTTATTATATATATTCAATAGCCGTTGAAATTCTGTTTAGGTTCAAATTGGATTTGTTTGTTTAATAACAATCAACAAAAAAATATACTATTACTACTTATTACATATATTCAATAACCGTTGAAATTCTGTTTAGGTTCAAATTGGATTTGTTAGTTTAATAACAATCAACAAAAAAATATACTATTAAACTTCTGCATTTTATACTTTTATTTTTTGCTTATTTTCAGTTCGATTTCATTTTTTACCAAATTTAACTTTGGTTTTATAGTCGAACAAGTTTTTCAATTCGGGTTTCAGATTCGAAAAGCCCATTTCATAATGGGCATAAAGTATACGGGCCAGAATTGTCACCAAAGTGTTGTTAATACTTTACATACCTTTCAAAACACTAATGAATAAAAGTCCGATCTGTTATTTGGCAACTATTGCTCTAGCCCAATACAAAACCCTAGCCCAACATAAAAAAAAAAAAAAGGCTCTTGTCATCTCCAAAAAAACCTGCAACTCCCACTCCTCCACGCTAATGACTTCATATGCGGCCGTGGCTTCTCATCTTCTCCAAAGATACCACAAAAATCCGTAACGCCTACTCTAAATTCATAACGGAGCATCACGATGTCCCCTAATTTACAAAGCTATTACTTTACCCTCTTCAATTCCACTGCCCACTACTTAATTCCTCCATTTAATTCTCTAGCCGATCTCCCCACATATAAATACCATACTATATCCTCATCATTTTCTTCACACTCTAAATCACATATCCTCTGAACAACAATCTCATGGCAGGTGTCTATGTCCAATTCTCTGATCTCAAATCAGGCCGTGAGGTCCAACGTGTTCTCGGTAGGCTCCTACGTTTCTGGGAGGCTCGAAATGTTAAAAAAAAACCGAGAGCTCATGGGAGTCTACTTCCTTCTTCTTGACGAGAAGGTAAATCGTTAATCTAGCAAACAACATTTTTCCACCACAATACATCTTCTCTCCGTTTTTTACTTACTAATTTATCTCTCCCATTTAGTCTACATTGATGCAAGGTACTATACCCGCACAACACCTTCCCAAGTACGAAGCACTACTAAATGAAGGGATCATCTATGTTATTAGTGGCTTCGATGTCACAAAGAGCACTCCGAGATTTCAACTCACTGATTTTGACAAATCCATATGTTTCACTCACACCACTACTATGGTTCCCGTCGACGATTCCTTCTACCAGATTCCGAAACAGTTATTCCGATTTTGTTCTCACGAAGAACTTCTTGCTTTAGCCAACACCAACAAGGACCTCCCAGGTATTCATTTGCTTATCACACAATTAGTTGTACCCCTATTCACTGAAGAACTCTACTAATAACTGGAATACCTGCAGACGTCCTCGGACAAGTTTGTTCAAGTAAAGCCTACCGGAACGAGTCTTCCCTCAAAATCGAGCGCATGTTGGTTCAACTGTACCTTCAAAGGTTAGTTTCAGTGCTTTTGGAAAATCCATATCTCCACCACCTTCTCATGCAATACTTCATACAAATACATAACTTACCAAAACAAAACACACTTTTTCCCTCTCCAGCGGTCAGAAGGTCCGTCTTAGTGCATTTGACGATCACGCTGCCACACTCAATAGAAGAATGGAAAAGCAAGAGGCTGGGACGTGCATCATGATTGCCACCAACATTAACCCAAAGTTCTTTGGCGGTAATCCCTCTCAAACGCACCAATCTCACTTGAATCTATAACACCAAAAAACAAATGTAGGCAGCTCAAATCTTCAGGTCATTCATTGTAATAACACTACTTTCCAAACACTCATATGCAGGTGAACTGTACCTGAATGCCACATCCGGGACTCGATTTTATTTTGACCATGAGATTGACGCCACCCGTGTCTTTGCTGAGAGGTACTTCTACATATTCACTACCTTACATTCTGTGTTACTGTAACTCTACATTACTGTAATATCAATTATCATACTGTTGAAATAGCTTGGCACTCAATGACAAAGACAACAAGAACTCTGAAGTTAAATACCAGGGCGTCCAAAAGATTGAGCAAGTATCCATTGCAGAGCTCCACCAGTTTGTTACTGCCACCGAGGTATATTCACACCATATATTCCTAAACGTAGTTGTCTCAGCAGCTTCATCTTCAATGTCTAATTAGTCAATTCGGATGACTATTAGGATAACGCTGAATTTCTATGCACTGCCAAAGTTGTGGATATCCAATCTCTTAATGGCTGGAATTACATCTCCTGCTCAAACTGTGCAAAGAAAATGGTTAAACAGCATTCATCTTTGTCATGCATCAACTGCCAATCTCCTGGTGCTGTAGGAAACGTTAGGTGAAATCCCACATGCCGAATACCCACACACTCCATTATATATAGATTTCTAACCCCAACACTACTCTTTCACATTGTCTAAATTTGCAAGGTACCGTGTTGAAATGGTTGTCAACGACGGAGCTACAGAGGCTGTGTTTGTGGCTTTCGACAAAGACGTGGTCAAGTTGACAAACGTTACGGCAACAAACCTCACAGCACAACTGGTAAATAACTCTAACACAGACATACACACAACACACATCCAATATTTTATTCTACTCTCCTACTTTCACAAATTTACCATACTATAATACAGGCTGATACCAATCCAGATTTGGACAACGAAACTGTCATCCCCGATCCAATCTCCAAAATTGTAGGAAAGACCTACACATTCCACATCAAGCTGAGCTCATTCAATTTCAGTAGCCACCACAAATCATTCACGGTAGCTCGGATATTTGACAAACCCCATGCCGCTCCAAAACCAACCTTTGCGACAGTGGTAAATTTCATTATAACGTCACATCTGTAACACTATGAAATAAATTGCAAAGAAACTAACTTCCCACCTTTACACTACATACACAGGCACATGGTGAACTCAGCACTGAAATCCCCCCCAATGCAAATACAGGAAGCTTCAACGAGACCGATACAAGTGCTGGAACATCACAAAGTGAAAGACAAATTGAAGGTAGCCTTTCCAGCAGTGTGATTGGAGCAGCTGAGGTCACCTCTGCAACTGGGAATGAAAATGTGATCTCTAAGAAACCCAAACTCAAGTAGCATCGTCTACCAAGTGCCATATGAAAGAAACTATAAGAATCCCTCAGTTTGCATTTATATTTTTATGCTTAATAGTGATTTTATTTATCACTTACCTTTCCTATTTTCAAATCTAACTTCCAGACATTTATATATGTATGCGGCTTATATATCTTTTTATTTCAGCTTCTACTTTTTATTTTCAATAAATCATCTTAAAAATCCTAATCTTCTATACAATTCAATTCTCACTACTTTACAGTTTACATTGACATAACTGAATATTCATAAAATGAATTGTTCAACTTATGATAATTAAAAATAGCATTCGAATAATTTAGAAGAATATATTACTTTATATTGTTTCATTAAAGTAAATATAAACTAACAATCGTACAGATTTTATAAAATACTCTAATCGTCTATACTATAAAGTCCAGTTCACAATAAAATAGAATAGAGAGTAGTGCCGTTGCAAAATTTAGGCACTCATTAATTCAGTAATATATCCGATTACAACAACACCGTTTAAAAAAAAATTACTAACATTTATGTAAATTGAAAATAATTATGAGACTTAAATTTTTATTTAATGACTACAGAGAATACTCCAATAAAAAGAAAACGTCTGTACTCTGCGAACTCATATATGACATTTTGCTAACACCAATCAACAACTCTCATAATTTACCATGATATTTTGCTAACACCAATCAACAACTCTTATAATTTACTATGCCTCCAAAATACCAAGCCAAACGAAAATCAAAATCAAAAGGAGATGATGCAAGTTTAAAAGGGAAACAGCAGAAACCAGAAGCACGAAAATTAGCCGCTAAACGGACAGCAGAGT